CTTTCAAAGTTGCTACAATGCATGTGAAATAATTAATAAATCATAGTATAAGTCACAAGTCATTATAGTAATTACAATTATAAAAATATTTTTCTGTCATTTTACTTTTTTCGTTAATTCATCAATTTTTTACTGTCATAGAATATTCCTTTTCTTCTCCATCTCTTATTCTCCTCCAGTATAAGCTTTTGATCATCTTATATGCAACTAAAGAGCCTATGGTAACTCCTATTGGTATGCCAACAATTGGTGCAACATCTCCACCTATTCCTTCACTTGCTCGACTGAGATAATACATTCCCATATCTTGTGACTGTCCTTTCATTCGATGAGCACTTTGGAAATTTAGAGCTCTCATATGGCAGCAATCCATTAATGTTTTTATCCAGTTATCAGTGACAGGTAATTTGTGCATCTCATTCCCAGCGACACAAACTGGCATATCCATGATTATTTTTTCAGGCACGTATCTTTCCAGGTGCGATTGAAAGCATGCAGCCCAATCTTTCATACACAAATTCATTTTCAATTTTAGAACTTCATCACTTATATAATTAATACGAAACACATTGGCTTGTGTTAGTACTAAGATGCAGCTTTTCCATATGGTGCCATCATTTTTGAACAGTTTTGCAAGAAGATTTAAAAAATACTTAACTGAATCATCAAATCTGTATGTAATTCTCAGACATATAAGGGTTGTGAACCGATCACCACGCTCATCAATTTTCTGTTTAAACTTCTTTATCAACTCTTTAGAACTATAGCGTGGGTCTCCCAGACCTATTGTATCATAAAACACCACTGGTGTACCATAGACTGTACCAGTGTGTTCTTCTATTGTATCATGTTCGCAAGGGTACCTACCATATGCTACTCGGGCTACTTCCTTACCCAGCATTGAATTGATGAGTGTTGATTTTCCTGCTCCTGTCATACCAACCACCATTATTGTCAATGGTGTCTTGGTCATTTCTTGTTGTGGTATGGCCAATTCGTATCGGTCTATACCTTTAGGTGGTGTCTCATAACCTTTCTCACTGTCACTAGGCCTATGTAGCTCACCACCATAATCAGCTGAATGAGCCATAGCCATAGCATCTTGCCCTTTAAAATATAAAGTATTGTTAATAAAATAGAATTGTTTCATACTTTTAGTCAATATTTTCTCTTCATTTGGGTACATTTTTGAATTTGTCTTTTTAACCTGTGTTCTGAAATCTATTTAAAAATAAAGGTATTGAGTATTACAATTTTGTGAGCTTGACATACCCACCATTTTCACTTTTTTCATCTTTAAGTTTCCTGATTTCTTCCAAAAGCTGAGATTTTTCTACTAATAGCAAAGACTTTTCCTCAACAAGATGTTCTATTGCTTTGTCTTTTAAATATATATCTGTTTGTAGCATTTCTATGATAAAAAATAGCATTACATTGTTTGTGGCAAACTTTATGAAGAGATATAAATTTCACATGGGTAGAAATTGCTTTTTAAATACACAGTAATAAAATTGTGTAAATAATAAACTGATACAGTTTTGGAATAGGAGGAAATTTATAACTACATGTATATACCTCACCCTTGGGCCCATATAAACTATGCCAGCTCAATGGCAGTGCACATGTCCACAAATTCACCAAACACTGCATGCATGTGCAATCACAAAACATACATGTAGAACATTATCAAATTTACCCACCCCCATAATTACCAGCTATGGTACTCACTGCATGGAGTGATAACATTATACCATTATTACCTTCAACTGCCTCTTGCTTCTGCTGCTTAGAAAAATATGCATCAAGGGTAGCTTTTTTTTCTTGAAGCTCAAATTTAAGCTCTGTGCATGTAAAATATAGAATAATAATAAAAAGTATCTCATGTTGCATCATGTTGTGATGAAAGAAGTTTCATAATTATAATGTCAGTAGCAAATTACCATATAGTTTGTTTCTTTGGCCCCGAAAGTTTTTAAATTTTAAACCCAGCGAGTAGGCATAGGGCCAATAATGTTAATTAATAAAAAAAATCAATGAAATTATCTTGTACAACTTGCTAGGTTTGGGAACAAAAGTTTTCTTCTATACGGTATACCTTGTTCTTCTTTGCCATCAGGCTCAAATTGTTTTGGTAATTCTTGTTCTTTTATCAATGCTAGGAATCTTTCTGATAACTCTTGCTTTTCTACATAATTAAAATCATTGATATTAACTTATGCCGTTACCTAACTTACCTTTAGCTATTGCTGACTGTTTCTGGAGTGATTTATATAATTTCTTTGTTAACTC